ATACTTACTTCGATACAATTGTGCCATTCTTTTGCCTTGCATGATTGTTTCATCAAGAGCATTCAATTCATATATTGATTTTAGTTGTTGCCATTTTTTTATCATAAAATGANNGCAATATGTTATACTATAAAATAATATGAATAATGTTTACAATCATTTATTTTATAAGAATTTGTTGAAAAATAATTCACCTACATTTTGTCTGTTGAAATGTAAATTTAATAGTTTAACGGCACTAATCGAAGATGCGATAAAATGCGGTATACATTCAATCACACCGTCCATATCCTTGTTACGTAATGATATATATAATTCAAGTGTCTAATGATTGAATTATTTAATAACATTACCTGATTATTTATTTTATTTCGTGGAATTTATTTTATTTAATTTCGTTTCTATGATATTTTTTTCTAGAATGTTATTAGTATATTTTTCTTACCGTTGGGATGAAAACGCTTGCAATACTAATTACCAATATAAATACAATAATATTTCTAAATTCGCTTTTTTGACGTGGATCTTGTCCTAAAAATCGTATGTATTTCTCCATCATTTTATAATAAGGAATATCATATATTTCATTATGCTGTTTTTCAATTTTCTGAAATACTGAAAGTTCTAAAGGTAAATTTAAGATATTATTTATTATTAAATTCTTTCAAATATATATGAAAATGATTAATATAACATTAATGTTACAATATTCAAAGCAAGATAAGTTTCTTTTTAATTTTAATCTTCAATGTGATTTTTTCTTACTATCCATGACAGCAACGTTGCAACTTGTACGACCAGTATGAAGTAAATGTCTTTGAGTAAATTTGTGTGATGTAAATCTATGCGTATTTTTCTTTCTAAAACTGTAAAAATCAATCTGATGCAATTGAACACGTTACTTGATGTTACTGAAAATGACTACCAATCATTCACTTACTTGACATATATAGATTAAAGTATAATTTCCAAGACAGGGAATAATTGTATCGTACATAAGAAAATTCTTTTTCCAATAACTTTATGGTATCTGCTTATGCAATATAATTAAAGGTACATGATTGCTTTGAAATATTGATTTGTATTTAATAGTTTCAATAAGGTATTGGATAACAGACCGAAGATTATCATATCACTCTATTGAATTTTTATAAATTCTAAAAATATCTTTGTATTTCTATTTGTAGTACTTTGTAGTAACAATATAAAATTGTATTTTTAATTAAAAATTTTTTTAATTATAGAAAGAATCTAAGATAATTATTTGTAGAATATAAATATCTATTGTAACTTTATAAAAATGATAATTGTTTGACTTGATCTACTTAATGTTTTTAGTGTTTATTATTTCATCTTAATTGAAACAGTGAATATTTGCGACATGAAGTGAAATTTTGATAAGACATTTAATGTTTCGTTTAATACCATATAATTCGTTAAATACTATATAACAAATGTAATTTGATAATTTTATTCTTATATTCAATAATATAATTTAAATTATTCAATACATACATTCATACTAGCAATATACAATCATATTTATTTTGCTCTAAAATTTTTTGTTAAATCTGCATATGATTTGATGTTTTACGGATAACATTATTTCAGCGACAATATCATAGTGATGTATGACATACACGTTTTTAGAGCCTCGAAATAAATATAAATAATTATTAATATTTATTAATATATATATAATTAAGAACTTTATATATTGCAATACATACTGTTCCAAAGTTCTCCATATTCATTTCGTATAATCCATATGCTGTTAATGAACATGGCTTCTTACATCTTATTTGCATCACATAAAACATTTTTTGAATTTCTATTGGCATATTATACCATGCAGACATAAATCTATATATATAATATCAGCAAAGTTACATTTGTGCTCTTAATCATTTACCTTTTATATAAGAACATCCAATACATACATATTATTTCTTAAATTAGAATAATGATTCAAAAGTATTTGTCCAGGTATACTAAGAATAAATAAATGAAATTGAGCAGCTATAAGAAATACAGCGCTTTTAATTGCTATCTCCAATTTATCTAAATTTAAAACTATCTGAAAAATAAAACTATTCATTATGTAAAATCTTTTTTTATCTCTTTTTGATTTTTCAGATTAATCTTTACTTGTACAGCTGATATGCTTGTTGCCATTATATTTGTTCCAACTAAAAAGAAATAAGTATTTCGACTACTCTCGTCTAAAATATCGAAAAACCTAAAAATATTATGAAAAAGTAAATTAGACATATTTAATGATTAATTTATAACTTGTTATTCTCAATTATTTGATAAATACGAACTGAATAGCTTCATTGTGAACGATTAAACAATTTTTAAATTGTTCGTATATATGTATATTCGAAAAAACTTTTTCAGTGAATATTTTTTGAATTTGGTACCTAATAAGAGAGGAAATGATTAAAATTTATATATTAAATACGAGAAGATTAATAATGCATTTCTTATAATAATATTTACCCACATACTGCAAACATTCCACTATTATGATGAATTATAAGAATATACAACCAATCAAAAATAATTACGATTATCACACAAACAAATGAGCTCCAAACTAATTGAAAATATACGTAAAAAAAATAATCTTCGTGGTTAAAAATCAAATAATTAACTCTATATAGTTGTTGTCTTGGTCGAGTTTCATTTAAAGGATAAACAATGTCCAAAATAGGAAAAATTAATGGTACGAAAAAAAAAATTATCATAGCGACCAATAATGTATCTGAAAAGTATACATAATATACTTTATTATTATATAGATTATATTTAAAAAATAAAAATAAAAAATAAAAATATTTTAAATAGATAAATACATTCGGATTGCAAAAATAATATCGTACTTCGATATATTTGTGCCATTTTATTGCCTTGCATTATGATTTCTTCCAGGATTCGTATTTCATTGTTTAATTTCAATTGATGCCATTGTTTTGCCACAAATGTAAATAATTTTTTGAACTATAAAATATAATATTTTGTACTAAATACGATATTTATATAATTAGATATTCACATACGTTTTCACTGTTGTTATATATATTTTGTAGTTTAAAGATAGCAACTACACATACACCTAAAGACGGCAAGCATTCAAGCATAGCATCTATATTCTTTGCACATAATGATGTGTATATTGCGAGCATCTAATGAATTTCATTTCGATTATTTAATAAAATTATCTTATTATTGTATTACATGCATTTTTTCAAAATCATTCTTTTTATTATTTTTTTTTTAAATATTCAATATTGTTTTCTTACCAATGGCAGAGTAACGCTTATAATGGAAATCGCCACTAAAATTATGATAATATTTCTAGGTGGATATAATCCTGATAATGTTAACCATTTCTTCAATGATTTGTAATAAGGAATCTCAAATATATCAAGACACTGTCTTTCATATATCTGAAATACTAAATGCTGTAAATTCAGATTATTTTTCCAAAAAATCATTTCTAATATGTTTATATAATATATTATATATAAATATATATTGAAATAATATAAAAATACAAATAACATTAAATGTAATTCAACGTTTTTTCTTACTATGCACATTTGCAATTGTAAAATTGTAGAAACACTTGTTCCAAAACCAATATCTTCTTAAATGTCTTTCTTTTTAGAGAGGAAAAGATCAATCTGATAAATGCAGTTACATTCATGTACGATAATATTCGATGTGTAACAGTAGGTATTACGAATAATTGCGAATCATTTTCTTGTAAGACACATATGTATTATTGCACACTTATTAAATTAACTTATGCAACAATTGTTTCGTAGATAAGAAAATGACTATACAAAACAGCTGTATTGGCGTCTGCCATTTATGCTTAAAATCGAAGATCCATGATTATCTTGAAATATTGATTGCTTGCAATATGGTGCTTACTAAACGGTCAGTGATAGACAGAAGAATAATTTTCAAATTATTGTATATTGAAAATTATTGAATTCTACAAAAAATGTATTTCTGTGTGTTATATATTATAATAATAATATTAATTTCTTGGATTTTCAACTATGAATTCTCTTTTTCAGAATCAGTGAAAAATTGTTATTTGCGATGGATAATATATATAATTTTATAAAACTTTGTAGATCATTCAGTTTATATCATTTTAAATTCGCTAAAATAAAAAAATTTTTTTTATAATTTACTGAAAACGGAATGGCGCTATGAAATGTTAATCAATTCGTAATTTTGGTAAGATTTATAATATTTTTTATACATTACAATATTACAACATTTTGTTTTATTTATGTGTTCGACAAAATTTGTTATGATGTTTTGCTACTTAATATTAACAATACATATTAATTATTTCTACTATTATTCGTATCCTCAATTAATCTGGATAAAAAATATAATAGATTTGGCATATATTTTTTATGAACATCGTAGAATCATTATTTCAACGACATTATCATCGTGAAGTATGACATACATGTTTTAAAAGTCTTGAAAAAAAATTAAATAATAATTAAACAAAATATATATTATTATAATATTTTTATCAAATACTACATACTATTCCGAAGTTTTCAATATTCATATCATATAATCCACCTGCAGTTAATGCACATAGCTTTTTACTTCTTATTTGCATCATATAAAGCATTTTTTGAATTTCCAATGATGTTCCATACCATGTGGAATCATATCTGTTTTAATAATAATCAAATATTAAATTCGAGTTATCTTAAATTATAAAATCTTTATAATTATTTAGTACATACAATAAATACATACATAGTATTTTCAAAATCAGCACAATGATCCAAAAGTATTTGTCCAGGTAGACTGAGCAAAAACAAATGAAACTGATCGGCACCAAAAAATACAGCGCTTCTAATTGCTACATCCGGTCTGTCTAAATTTATAACTGTCTAAAAGATAAAATAATTAATTAAATAAAATTTTCAACAGTTTGTATGTGTCACTATTCGAATAATTATATTTACTTGAACGGCTGTCGTACTCATGCCCAGCATATTTAATCCAACCTGAATTAAATAACTATACTGACAGTTTTCATTCAAAATATTGTAAAACCTCAAAGTGTAATGAAAAAAGCAATTTAATGCAATAATTATTTGTTAGTATATCATATAATTGATATTAATTAATGAATACGCACTCTATAACTTCATTATGCATGATTACACAAGTTCTAAATTTTTCATATGATGAATTTTCAGAAAACGCATCTTTAGAAATTAAATTCGAATTCATTGTTGCTTCTAGAACTTGAACTCTGTATTTGTCAAAAAATTGGCAG